CGACTGCAGAAGGCCTGTATATAAGAGTGAATCCCATAAGTGTAAATAGACTTGACGGTGTAATGTTAGACGATGCATGACAAGTCTTGCTTAACAACTAATGTAGAAATGTCCTGCCAATTTCCATGTCTAATTTATTATCCCGATTATCTGTATCTTCCATAGCAATATATATTTATATCTAATATTGAAATTATCAATGTTTTCATCATGGATGTATGTGACTGAAAATTCAAACTGATACACTAATGACTTACATGCGTCGGTGGCATAGTGGTTAGGACGCTCGCCGACCATGCACATGCACAAGCCACTAGCTTGAAGCCCTATGTTCCACTGGGGAACGTGAAGGAAAAAAAATAACTTACATTTGCAACCAATATTAATCGTCGTTTTATTTCAATTTTATTCTGAATATGCTGACAATTGATGTGAAATTGTCCACCCATTCACATCATTTGTAGATCAGACAGATATTTTCTAATTCAGATTTCCTTACCATGTTACTAAGTTACCATGACCTATATTAGAACATTTTCATTGAAGATGGATATAAATAAAAGTACACACAATGTTTACAGTGTAGACTACTAATAATGAGTAGGTGGAACTATCCGGTCAAATCTTGATCACAGTTCACTCAGTTTTGTTTATTATGTTGTTTTTCATGACTATTCATGACTCAGATATGATTAAATGAGAATGTTTAAGACAAGATTTGTCTTTTTAACTTTTATTGTGACGCTGAAGTAGTTCGGCCCAGTTTGCTAAACGAAACATTGGAATTATTTATTTAAATTTATTTAAGATTTATACAAACATATATTTTCACATGTGTCTACTTTTCAATGTCAGCTCTCGATTTTTGTGGAAGTAGTCGGTGAAATAATAATAATAATGACTTTATTCCAAACAATAATGGTAATGAGCTGACATTAGATAGAGAACCATTGGAAAACCTGGGAGCAATGGACAGCTGTTTCGTTCCAGTTTGGGACACTATGTCGTGAATTGGCAGAAGTTAGAATTCATGGGCAACAGGATCGGGTCCCACTGGCTTAATGGTATACGAGCTCACCTTGTACCCATAAGGTCCTGGGTTCGAAACCCGGTGGGTACATACTGATGAAGAGTCCCAAACTAGGACAAAACAGCTGCCCAGTACTCTCAGGTTTTCCAGTGGTTCTCTAACTGATGTCAGCTCATGATGAAATTCTGTAACCAATCAAATCCCTACAAACCAACACTTGAATAATGGTAATATTAATCATACAGAATGTGTGCGTCAGTGGCGCAGTGGTTAGGGTGCTCGCCGACCATGCACATAGTCCGGGTTCGATCCCCGGCCGACACACTCCTTTACCTCGCTAAGCCAGAAATAATGCTGATGAAGAGGGAAGGTTGGGCATGAGGCTAGCAACCCTATCCTGTAAAATAAACACTGCTAAAGAAACTTCAAGCCACTAGCTTGAAGCTCTATGTTCCACTGGGAACGTGAAGGAATGAAAAACAAAAAAATACATAATGGAATTATTAGCGTTTTTACATATATTGCAACAATTTAGCTCCATTTATAACTATGTACATACATGAAATTTAAAGTTGTTTTAATAATATTAATAATTAAACCACTATAAACAGAATGCTGTTGGAAACATAATGAATTGTAAGTAGATAATACCATGGTCAATATACGTAATAATAATCTTTGCTTTTACTTTGCGGTTCAATTACTGATTGAAAAAGTTAATAAGTTCTTTTCTGACATCTAACTCTTCACACAAAATCCGTGCTAAATATGGTGGTATGGTAGAATTTTTATATTTAGTAGCTGTACGAGCATAAATTCTTATGAAGTTTCGTTTGGTTTAACCCAAAAGATATACAAGGAAAAAGTTGCGAATAAAGAGGATATCCGAATTCAGACAAGACAACTTTAGCCAAATGCTTGCAAGAATTGAAGTGTCTATTGACAATCATATCAGTTAGCTGAGTCAAACGAACACCACTAACCCTACTTACAGCCTTCAGTGTTCTACGTAATATGTGATATATTCTTTTTTGAGAAGTCGAGGGAAGAATAAGTAGGGCGAACAATAAAGAAGAATGGGCAGAATACATGAATTGATAAATTTTAAGAGGACAGGTTGAGTTATTCCAGAAAGTCTCAACTTCCTCAATTGATAAGTCAACCGAAAAATTTTCTTAAAAATCAACAAGATATGAGACAACCGAAAGAGAATCAGAGAGAAACTGATACCGAGATAAGAGGTATCCAATTTACTGTTAAATAAAGAAAACATAAAATTACCAAGGCAACGAGAGGTGGACCATAAAGTCTTCATGTACTCATAAGTTAGGTTCTAGTAGACGAATTGCTGTTACTCCTGCATAACATTAGAGATCTAATATTAATTTGTTCTACCTTTGTCTCTCCCTTGCTTAGCCTAGGTGAATTCTAATCAAAACCCTCCCACCCTTTCTTATTTTCCATTTCCTTCGTACTTTTATGATACTTATTTAAATTGTGATTATCTGTTCACTTCACCTTTAGTATTACATAACTTTTAAGATTTGACCTAATTTATTTATTGAATTGTCTACAAATACACATATCACTTACCTTCTTATCGCCACCTGCATAAACTTTATTATCAATATTTTGTTATCATTATAATCATCGTTATTCATGACGTTCAAAACATTTATCACATTATTATTATTATTACTATCATTATTATTTGATCCACAAACTCACCGTCATTGGTTAAAATTTTTATACATAAATCTATGTAAATTAGAGTAAAGCCTGAAGAAGATCTAATTGAAAACAATATTGTTCGCTTATATGTCTCGTTCTAATATTAATACAGGGAATATTTAAAGATTATTCATCCATATATCTAATCAGTTTTGCGGAGGATTTCATCATGAGATGACATCAGTTAGAGAACCACTGAAAAACCTGGGAGTACTGGACAGCTGTTTCGTCCTATTTTTGGACTCTTCACAGTATGCACCCACCGGGGTTCGGACCCAAGACTCTCTGGTTACAAGACGAGCTCGTAGACCATTGAGTCACTGGGACCCGATCCAATGGCCCATGAATTCTGACTTCTGCCAATTCACGACATAGCGCGACCATTTCGCAATATCCTCTTCGATGAGTTACTGCCTCATCTTCAACCTGCTGTACCCTACTGGTCACGGCTTTTCACTAGAACCCCAGGTCACTGCCTGAAAAGGGCCAGTCACTGCTGAGCTTCAGATTAATTTTCAAGTATTGGTTTTGTAGGGATGAAATCCTCCATGCAATCAAACTAAATCCCTACTAAACTAATACTTGAAAATTAATCGATTGTGACTCATGATTCTATACGCCAATACTATCACACTTAAGTATTTCCACTAACTGTCAAACATTAATACACACATACACACCAAAATACTGATTGTAATTGTCTATTGTAATTCATATATATGACTGTATAGCTGTGAAAATGAGATCGTCGGAAAGAGAATTTTCTTCTCTGAATTTTTTGTTTTTATGTCTCGATGGGGATTATTAATTTAATGACTTAATTTATTGTCCTAATTCTACCGGTTATTCAGGTCACTTTGATTTTGACTAATCATACTTTTACTACAATTGTTTCACGCTTTGAATATAAAATAATAAATATAGTCTACGTTGTTATTTTGGTGGATGGTGACCAACAGTGGAGTCCAATATGCGTATTTCGTCCCATTTCGGACTCGTCAGTTAAATGTAGCCACATTACCAATGAGAATGGAGCTCAAACACCAAAGTGTTATACACTAGACCACTTGGGCCACCACGATGCGTGCAGGATTCAACTCACATTGGAAACAAGATCATTAAGTGGGAATGCAGGTATATCCAGTCAACGAGCCCCAAATAAGGCGAAACGCATATCCTGGATTCCACCGCTAGTCGCCACCCACCAAAAGCATTTTAATCCTCAGATGTTGTTGAAGCACCCGTACCATGTCAACAGAGACTGAATATCCTGATCCAATATAAGCATTCAACGGAAAATACAAAAATTAATTAAACAAATATATATGAACTAAACCTCATAATACTTGAGTAATACCGAATAGAAATTCTAGTTCATACTGAGTAAGGAAATTATATTAAATAAACTTGCAGTCTTAAAACTTAAGCTAAATTATTCTAAAGATCTTATAATCATCAACATATCATGTAGAAAACACTAGCTACAAAGTTGTTTTCTTAGATTAATTTGGATTGCAGGTTGACTGATTCTGTTGAACCGATATGCTCGGTCTCTTTTGACACGTTGATTCCTTTTACAGACGCTTCAGCCGGAGATCAGCATGATGTTACTTCGATTGATGGTGACTAGCGCTGGAATCCAAGACGTACATTTATTTACTCCTATTTTGGATTCAGCAGCTGTATGTACTCACATTACCACTGGATTATAATGGATAATGTTTTGGTGTTTGAAATGATTGGTGCTGAGTTCGAAAGTTCAGTGAGAACAACATCACTTATTTGGAAGGCAGGTACATCCAGATGACGAGTTTCAAACTGGGCGAAATGTGTATTCTAGATCCCAATATTATTTTCCATTGACCAAAAATAAGTAAAACGCTAGTGATAATCAGCTACACCAAAAATTATTGGGGATTGCAAAAAAATTAGTAAATGCTTTGGAGGAATATAAAGTTATAATAACTCATTCTGGTTAGACTCACACGCCTGTAGTATACTATACGATTATCAGTAATATTTGACATTTGTTTACCGAAATTAAGATTGTAATTTTTCACTGAGATAGATTAGACAATACAGCTGGTTATCAGTCTTATTATAAATACTAAGCTGTTTTTGTGTACCTTGTTAAATACTAAAATAGAGTTATTATAGTAGGCTTATTGGTTTTCAGTGTGAAACTGATATAACCATCCAAGAAGATAGAAATTGAACATTTAATGTATCAGACACTTACCAGCTGATAAAAATCGTAGTTGAATTGATTTATTTGTTGATACATGAGAATATAATTCAGATTATTCTTTTTCCAAGTTGAATGACATTGAAATTCAGCTTCTGACAATAGAAAATAATTCAAAATTAAGTAAAAAAAATGTTTCTCAGTGTCGTTAATTGTCTTCTAATGTAATGTGTACTAAGACATTCCCATCATAATTTGCACCAAAGTTAATGAATATGAATGAAATATAGGAGTGTATATTCCATCACGTGTCAGTGGCACAGCGGTAGAGTGCTCACCGACCACGCAGGTGGTCCGGGGTTCGATGCCGAGTGGCGCACTCCTTTACCTCGCTAAACCGGCAATAAGACTGGTAAAGACTGGGGAAGGTTGAGCATGAGGCTAGCACCCCCATCTTGTAAAAATAATCACCACTGCTACAGAAACTACAAGCCTCTAGCTTGAAGCCGCATGTTCCACTGGGAACGTAAAGGAATAAAAGAATATTCCATCAAAGACGGTATAATCAATCAAATGTCAGAAAACAGTTTAGTATGGTTTAAGAGAGACTTACTACAGTTCCTTTAAGAACACATAAATCAGGTTTTGAAGGGGATGACAGAAACAGCCTGAGACGTTAACATGTCTATTTTCCAATTAGCCTAATAGAATTCTAGACACCTACTTGATGTTCTGCTTCAATCAAATGGTGTGGGATTGTGCTTTCTTTTAATTGTAAGCGTTTTGGTATATGTTCGCCAAATTTAAAATATGCCCTTCTTGCGTTTTTTCCAATGTAGATGCTTCGGTTGGAGCATATACACAGATTTATAGTTTGAGAACTTATTAACACAGATTGAAGATTTAAAAAGGGTGAGTGAATATAAAAACGCTAAAGAGGTTTGTATTATTATTCATTGTCTCACTTAACCAACGCATTAATTGAGGATCTCATTGAAAAGTTAAAACTCACTTAATAATATCAGAGATGAGAAGCATTTAGTGATGTTGCGATTAGATACAAATTCTGGTGTTAAACTAATGCATTCAAAAGATTACACTGGAAAGATAAAGTTATTCATTCATGGATCCCTAAAATTATAAATTGATAACTTGTAAAACAACTTCAAGTATTGGTTTGTAGGGATCTGGTTCGAACCCCGGTGTGTGCGTACTGATGAAGAGTCCCAAACTGGGACGAAACAGCTGTCCAGTACTTCCAGGTTTTCCAGTGGTTCTCTAACCAATGTCAGCTGGTGATGAAATCCTGTAACCAAAACAAGTGCAGCCTATTCAACAGAATGATGAACTGAAAATGAGTCTAGGGAATTCCTGATAGTTAATACTACACATCGTTTATTTCATAAGTTGGAACTGCCATAGTTACTCAAGAAGTGTTTCTCTCTAAAACCTATATTACTAATGATAATGATTCATCTCAACTTTAGGTGGTTCCCTGGATAGGTGAGAAACTGGAAGCTGAACCTTAGCTGCATACTCTACAAAAACCCGTTTGACTTCTACTAGAAACAAAATTATTTCGATGTTTTGAAAAAAAGTTTGGTGTTGTTTGATGTAGCTTTCTTATTTACAAATGTCTGCTCTCATTGAACCATAGATATTATAGGAAAGAATTTCGACATTTTCCTCGTTAGAATTCAGATTATTATATTATTATTTATTGTTCTCCTGGGTTCCAAGTGGAACATAGGGCTTCAAAAACACATCTCCACTTTGTTCTATTTTCTGCTGTCTTCTTCGGCTGGGTCCACGATTGTGCATAACCTCTCATCTCCTCCTCGCCACACAATCTCCTTCATGTCACCCTCACCGTGATGACCCACTGGGATTCCAGTCGAGCAATTGTCTGCATTTTGCGCGATAGCATTCGACGATCTCCTCAGTGTTCGCCTAATCCATCCCCACTTTCTCTTACATATTTGTTGAGCAATAGGCTCTTGTTTGGTTTGTTATTGGCTGGAGTTTCTTGTTGCTAATTCTTTTTGGCTGGCCATTTGATCTTGATTATGGAGCCAGAGAAGGCAGTTGTTGATGAAAGTCTGTAACTTGTTGGAAATCCCTTTCGTGACTGATACGCATTGCAAGTTACCAACCCGTATAGAAGAAGTGACTTCACATTTGTGTTGAAAATCCGAATCTTGTTGTTTATGCTGAACGGAGAGCACTTCCAAACTGATTTCAGAGTGATTAAGGTATACCTTGCCTTTCCGATTCTGGCTGGTTTTGACATGCTTATCCCTTCCGCCTCTAGTTGGAACTATGCCTCCTAGATAAATGAAGAAGGTATCCTCTTTCAAATTTATTCCGTCGATAGTGATTGGAGTTTGTTGTGGCTGGTTACTTTCATTACCTCCATATTCTCTATATTCACTTGAAGTTCTGTCTTCGCTGTCTACCTTCTCTGACAATTTGTTAGTGTTCGCCTGTAAGTCTTCGAGTTTGTGTCACAATGAACACAAATCATCCACGAAATCCAAATCTTCTAGGGTCTTCTTGTCGGTGGTCCAGCGCATTCCTGTCTCCTCACTACCGACACTCCGACGCATAATCCAGTTCACTACAATTATGAATATCATCGGTGATAATAGACAGTCTTGTTTTACTCCTGTATTCACTTCTAACGCCTCGCTGAGTTTCCCGTTTTGGATCACCTGACACGTGACAGGCATTGTCATACAGCCAACTGTTTAATGAGGTTGATAAAGACTTGAGGTACTCCATAGTGGTGAAGTAGTTTCCAAATTACTTCTCGGTCAACGCTGTCTGTTCATGGTCTTTTCGAAGTCGATGTTACTGAGGTAGGGAGGGGTTTGACTGCCATTCTATACTTTGTTCGATGACGATGCTTAGAGTTGTAATTTGGTCACATATGATTTACCTTTCCTGAATCCAGCTTGTTCCGGCGAGCTGGCGGAGTTCTGTATCCAGTATTTTACTTGGCGTGGACAGGAGCATTATTCCATGTCAGTTTTTGCAGAAGCGAGCGTAATTCGCCCTTCTTTGGTAGCTTAACAAGTTAGCTAGCTTTTATTCCAATCGGCAGGCACCTCTACTTCCTTTCAAACTTATTGCAATAATGACGTAAGCACATCTGCAGCGGTCTCTGGGTCGGTTTTCAGTGCTTTAGGGGGAATTCCGTCTGGTCCTGCTGCCTTCCCAGCGTTCATTAGCTTTCGTTGGAGAATTGATGTTCACTTTCAGTTCAGATCTATATGCACCAAATATTTTCTGTTGTATTTGTCTCCTGACTACTGCTAAGAATTGTCTCTTCTGCGAAGTTGATTATGTCCTATTTACAATACAACTATCTACATCAGATTACTCAGGCTGTAAGTAGTGGAGAAGATTCCAATGAAAAAAATCGACCCATCCTATTCTGTTCCTTTTATTCTTATTGATCTCTTCAAGTTCTCGAAAGAAAACCTTTTCCTTCAAGCATCTAACATTCAGAACTTCTGGAAATTTCAATGATATCTTGTAGATCAATAAAACATTCTCAGAAACGTCAAGGTGGAAAAAACCCATTAGGTGAGAACCAAACGAAACCAGCCATGATCCATTCAATCAGTTACAGTTCGCTTTTCGTTAGAAATACCACTAAGTGTTCAAACTGCATGTCACTGATAAAGAAAAGTGAGCATAATACATGGGAAAAGTTTGCATACAGTAGAATGTATCAAATTATCATTTGTATATTAGTTCATACACCAGTAAATTTTAATTTTAGCAATATTTTGAATTAGGTTACTGTGAAAAATCTGATTGTTAGAATTTCCCTATTCATGCAATCATGGAGAGAAATGATTTAGTTATGGTCACATTTCACTTATAGAACTATATGCGAGATAATAACTGTTGTATTGAGTAGCTTTTATTAAATGCGTTAGGAGAGACATTGACAAATTCGAGATCCATGGTTGGTTTGATAAACAGTATTGTTTAGAACAGCAGTTTCAATATCATATTCACTATGGATTCGTCGGTGGCACAGCGGTAGAGTGCTCGCCAACCACGCAGGTGGTTCGGGGTTCAATCCTCGGCCGACGCACTCCTTTACCTCGCTAAGCCAATAGTAAGACTGGTAAAGACTGGTAAGGTTGGGCATGAGGCTAGCACCCCAATCCTGTGAAAATAATCACCACTGCTACAGAAACTTCAAGCCTCTAGCTTGAAGCCCCATGTTCCAATGGGAACGTAAAGGAATAAAAAAATTCACTATGAATAAATGAAAGCAAATATTGATGACAGAATGTATATTCATAACTGTCACCTATATTACATGCCTGGTGTAAATGAGATCACGAACCTTAATTTCTCCCGAAATATAACTAAGATTAAAATTGATTGATATGTGTTAACGACCATTAAAAAGGCATAGATAACTTCGATTTCGTTAGTAAGTACTACTGATTAGTCTGGGTGGTTGCTAAATAGCCATGCCAGTCCGTAGTATGGCATTATGAAAATTACATAATTAAAAGTAAGTACATATTTAAATGGCTTTAAAGACAATTAAACCCCCAGAGTTATTAAGCGCGGGTGGTAGACTATCTTTCAGATTATACCTCTCTATAATAATAAAAACTTGAATTCTAAGACATAAGAGACAAGAATTTTAGAATTAGTGTTGAGATAGCCTTCGAGATTTCATATGAAATATCAGGAGTGTGTAAAGAAATGTATTGCCACAGTGGATACCCTTAAAATTAAAATGCTTTATTGTATATAATGGAGAAGATTTGTAGCTCAGGTGAATGATTTCGAGGTAGTTGTGTTCTCTGAGCTGGATAATGAATTTGTGAAGCTTTCATCGCCCTACTAGGCAACATCTTCAGCGCATACCTCAATTTGAAGTAAGCTTCTAGACTTCCCCACGAGTTTATTAGTAATCTCTCCTGGTTACCTTGGACGTGATTGGTTGTTTCTGTGTGTTTTCACACCATCTAGGCTACTTGTATTGGAAGTGATTGTTTCCTTGAATTGAAGTTTGACTCTTTTTGTGTGAGATTTCCTTCTTATCGATTGGTAAATCTTGTATATGTCGGTGTGACTACTGACTAACGATTCACTGGAATATGTATGCAGTGATACATAC